GGACCATTGTAGCCTCAAACCTGCCCTCCTGACCCGTTCCTCAGCCCCACCCCTCCAGGATCTGAGTGGATACAGCCAGGGCCAAACCCTCCCCTGTCCCCTGCCTAGCAAGGAAGAGGGTCCTCTGGTGCTCTTCCAATGTTCAACTCCACCGCTGCTGCAAATCCTCCCCTTTCCTAGAGGCCCCTGCCCGATGGCACACCCTCAGCACCCCACCCTCCCTGCAGACTGCCCGGGAGCCCACTCAGTGTGGCCACTGCCATAATGAGCTCCTTATTACCTCTCCTCATTCTGTTTCTCACCCAGTTAGAAGGAATTAAGGTCCCTTAGCATTGTTGGTCAAAGGCACAGACTTACTTTGTGCTGTGGGAAGAGAAGGACAAGGACATTCCTGTACGTGCGCCTGGGAACCCTTGTGCTGAAGGATGAGCCTGACCCCAACTCAACCCATGAGGGACCTGCTTGGGACCTTGACCCAACCTGGGTGATTCTCATCAGACTTCTCTGGTCCCTGTGCACTGGTAGCTGGTGCTGGGCAAAGCTCAAGCCTGAGAGGCCCTGCCACGGGGGCTCGGTCCTCCTACTGTAGAAAGCAGTGGGGGCACCTGCTCCAGCCTGGGCCCTGAGGGTCTCCTGGCACTGACACCGAATGCTGGCTCCAAGTAGTACAGGCCCCGGGACAGTGACCAGTGCCTTTACCTGGCTGAAGTGAGTGTCCCGGGTCAATATGGTGTTTGACCACAAGCTGAAAGGTCGCAGGTGGCCTACACAGCTACATCACAGGGGACAGAGGAGGCAGGTCCCAGGGCCCTGAGCTGCCCCAGCACACACAGTGCCTCTGCCTACCTCCCAACACAAGTGTGCAAGCTACCTGTGTGGAGCTTGCTGCCAATTGCTACTAAGCTCAAGGGCTTCTATCTCTGGGCCCACATCCACACTACCAAGAAGCCGTTGCCAAGCTGGGCCCATGTGCCCCTCCCAGAGACAAGGTGGGGATATGGGGATGCCTTGACCAGCGCCCCAAAGAAGAAGTTGAACAGGCCAGTATCCCTCAGAGGCAATGAGGATGGTCATCCTCCAGCCTCAGGCCTGGGAAGGGGACCCATTGAGACAAGGTGGAGGAGGCTCAATCCCCACCTTGTCCGCTAATGAGGAAAACAAAGGGTGAGGAAGGGAAGACAACCACAGCCCCGAGCCGCTGGACACCCCGAGCCAGAGGGCATCATGTCATCCCCGGGATTCCCTGAGCATCCTGGCAGGCATCCCAGCCCCACTTTGGAGGCACGGCACTTGGGCCTCAGAAATAGGCTTGCGCACGCGCACACCCACACCCACACACACACTTCTGCAAAACAGCTGTGCCGTGGGGGAACTTACTCCTGATTGAAGGGGAGCCAGAGAATGAGCCTGACACCCCTCCAGCTCTGCTCTCAGGGAGCCCTGCAGACCCTCCTTCTACCTTCCCCTTCCCAGCCCAGAGAGGACTCAGCAGTGCCACACCGGGGTTTATTCCAGTCACAGCTTTCAGAGGAACTCAACAATAAATTACATCATTAAATAAGCGCCTGCTAAACCACGCTCTCTTCTGCCCCCTCCTCTCCTCACACCTTCCGGGACTCAAACAGGCCTCCCTCCCCCCCATGCACAAGCGGAGGAGAGGGATGTGAGTCTCTCTGGGTCCCCACCCTGGTCCTCAGCCCCCTGGCATTCACTTGCCTGACCTTGACAGCTGGGCAGCTGCTAGTCAGCTGTCTCTTGGGGGGAGGGGAGGGCAAAGAAGGGGCAGCCACTACCCAGAGCCAGGCCTCTGTCACTAGAGGTGTGTGGGGTTCTCCAGAGAGGGGTCCGTCTTAGTCATGTGCAAGACCACAGTAGGGGTCTTATAGTGGCAGTGGGTGCCACGGCCATAGCCCCCAGAGGCCCGACAGGCCTTGGCTCGGGCCCGGCCAGCTGCCATCTTGCGGTGGCACAGGCTCTGCCAGGTCTGGAAAGTCTTGGAGCTCCATACCCACACACCGCTGGTGATGCCTACCACCAGTGACATGAAGATTTTGAGCATAAAGACAGCCACAGTAGGCACTGAGCCCCCTGGCAGAGAGCAGTCCCTCCGGCCTCCAGGGGCAGTGGCTGCCAAGCATGGCTGCTCTGTGGCCCTGAGGCGCCAGAAGTCCAGGTTGAGGCGTTCATAGACATAGCAGACGATGACACAGGTGGCAGGCACCGTGTAGAGGATGGAGAAGACCCCGATCTTGACCATGAGCTTCTCCAGCTTCTCGGTGTTGGTGCCGCCGGTCTTCATGATCTTTCGGATGTGGAAGAGGGCCACGAAGCCGGTCAGGAGGAAGCTGGTGCCTAGCACCAGGTAGCAGGACAGGGGCACCAGCACGAAGCCGGTGAGCGCTGCTGCATCCATGCTGGCCACGTAGCAGAGCCCTGTCAGCTCATCCCCAGCCACCTTGCGCAGGGTGAGGACAATGATGGTCTTGAGGGCCGGCAGGCCCCAGGCAGCCATGTGGAAGTAGCTGCCATGGGCCTCAATGGCTTCATGGCCCCATTTCTTGCCAGCTGCCAGGAACCAGGTGAGCGTCAGGACCACCCACCACAGCGAGCTGGCCATGCCAAAGTAATAGAGCAGCAGAAAGACCAGGGTGCAGCCTGTGTTCTCCAAGCCTTCCTGGATCACGTAGAGCGCGCCGGCCTCCTGGTCGCAGGACACGCTCTGGGCGCCCGCCACTGTGCGGATGAGGAAGGCGAGAGAGTAGACGTTGTAGCACATGGAGAGGAAGATGATGGGGCGCTCCGGGTACTGGAAGCGGTGAGGTTCCAGCAGGAAGGTGAGCACGGTGAAGGCCGTGGAGAAGAAGCACAGCGCCGACCACACGGCCATCCAAACCAGCGCGAAGTCCTTGTCGCGCCGTGACCAGAACACCTCGACGCCCGGCCCGCACCGCGGCGCACACGAGCGGCTCTTCTCCACGTACTGGAACTTCTCTGGGTTCTCGCAGGTGCCTCCTGCGCCCGGGCCCGGGGCTGCGTCGCCAGGGGGCCACACGGGCCGCGGCGCCACAGGCAGCATCCCCAGGCCCTTGTGGGGCTCAGCGGGGCCAGCCGTGGCGTTCTCGGGCGCCTCCATGCAGAGCGCGTGCGGGTCGTTGCGCGTGGGCAACCGGGTGCAGTCGAGAGAGTCGGGCCAGCCGAAGTTAAACTGCTCCATGATGGGCGCGCAGCGCAGGCGCGCCTGCTCGCACATGGGCCGGCAGGCGGGGATGGGCGTCGAGACCTGGTCGGTGCACATGGGCGCGTAGAGCGAGCACAGGAAGAAGCGCAGGTGGCTGTGGCAGCCGTACTGCACTAGCGGCGCGAACTCGGCCAGCTCGGCGGCCGCCTCGCCCTGCGACGTGTGGCCCAGCATGTTGGGCATGCGGGTCAGGTTGTAGCCAATGCCGCGGCACATGGGGATCTCCACTACCTG